TATACGTCAATCTTCTCTTCACTGCTTGCCAGGCCTCGCCTCTACTACACTCTTCCCCGCTCGTGCCCCCAAAAAGACACAACTGCGCGAAAACTAGCCCGGCGGGGTATTCGGGGGACGGGGGGGCAGAAGAAGCGAGATAAAAGAAAAAAAAAAAAAAAATGATAAAACAACAAGAAGAGGAATGGACAGATCTTTACAATATTACTTACTCCTCACTCCTCCTCCTCTTCATATAAATAAGATATAATAGATGGGATAACTAGACACATGGCCTCGATAAGTCGCGGTTTTCCGACCACGGGTCTAGCGTGTCTGCCCGACACCGCACTGGAGATCTAGAGATGGACAGTGGCTGATGTGCAAGGGACAATGGCTTTAAGAGGACAGGGCAGTGCCCTGGCGTGGCGCAGTGGTTGAGCATCGACCTATGAACCAGGAGGTCACGGTTCGATTCCCAATCAGGGCACATGTCCAGATTGCAGGCTCGATCCCCAGTGTGGGGTGTGCAAGAGGCAGCCTATTAATGATTCTCTCCCATCATTGATGTTTCTATCTCTCTCTTCCTCTCCCTTCCTCTCTGAAATCAATAATATATATATATATATGTTTTAAAAAGGCACACCCTGGGGAGCTGCTGGCCGAGGAGCAGGGAGACCCATGGGACAGCCCTGAGTCCCACCCACAGCCTGAAGCAGAGCCACCCAACCAACCTGCAGACCCACGAACAAGGAAAAGAAACATTTATAGCCACAGCAAGGAAACAACCTAAATGTCGGGCAACAGAGGCCTGGACCATGTGTGTGTTTATATTATATACTGTATGAAACGGATATTCTTGCCCTGGCTGGTTTGGCTCAGTGGATAGAGCATCGGCCTGCGAACCAAAGGGTCCCGGGTTCGATTCCGGTCAAGGGCACTATCTCAGTCGCAGGCTCCTCTCCGGCCTGGGCCCTGGTCAGGGCTTGTGCAGGAGGCAACCAATCGATGTGTTTCTCTCACATCGATATTTCTCTCTGTCTTTCCCTCTCTTCCACTCTCTCTAAAAATCAAGGGAAAAATATCCTCAAGTGAGGATTAAAAAAGAAAAAAAAAAAACATTAAAAAAAAAAACACCTGATATTCTTTGGCCATATAAATGAAGGAAGCCCTAACCGGTTTGGCTCAGTGGATAGAGTGTCGGCCTGGGGACTGAAGGGTCCCAGGTTCGACTCCGGTCAAGGGCGTGTACCTTGGTTGCGGACACATCCCCAGTAGGGAGTGTGCAGGAGGCAGCTGATTGATGTTTCTCTCTCATCGATGTTTCTAACTCTCTATCCCTCTCCCTTCCTCTCTGTAAAAAATCAATAAAATATATATTTTTTTTTAAATGAAGGAAATCCTGCCATTTCCAACACCATGGATGGGATCCAGGCGGAAGCACACCCTCCTCTCCTTTCCCCTCATCTTCATCGAGCTCTGACCTCCAGTAGGCCCTGGGTACCAGCTGGTTGCTGGGCTTCCCGCTGGGAGAGGGTGGGTCACAGCCTGGGGGGAGGGGTAGCTTGGAGGAGAGGCCATGCCACCCTGAAATACTCCTCCACTTCCTGCCACTTTACCCACGGGCTCAGCGTATTCACAGCCACGGAGGGACAGTGCCGGAGGCCGCCATGCTGAGCTGTTCAGTGGACACAGCAGCTCCCCTCCCGGGGGTGGGGGTGCGGGGGTGGGGGGAGGACAGACGTACCATAGAACAGCGGGTCCCGGGGTGGCTTTCGTTTGACGAGGATTCGAGCCAACAGGGCCACCAGGAGCAGGATGAGGGCAGCAACCCCTACAATTGTCCAGAAGCTGCAAGGACCAGAACAGGGAGGTGG